AAAGAAGAAATGAACACGAGTCAAGCCAAAACAAACAGCATGAAAACTGATCGAAAGTGGTTCTGTTGATGTTGACGGGCTCGAAGAGAAGACAGAATTACTTTCAATTGAAAGTGATGGTTTACAGCTTCATCGTCACTTGATGATTTTCGATTGAAAGTGACTTTGTGGGGTCCTGCTACTAAGCACAACCCGCCCTTTGCCTCTATTTTTCGTGTTGATTTTTTTTCACGAAATGGAGTGTTTTCACTGCAGATGACTTCTAAATTTATTTACCTTTCCGTATGTAACGTAAAATTTGCTAAAGAGATTTTTTTTTTGAGATATTGTTAAAAATCTAACACTGCTTCTTGGCCCCAAACTCGGCCTAAGGATTCTAAATTAGGCCTAATACATTGAAACGCCATTCAAACGCCATTGAATTCACTTCGGCCTATCGGATGAAGATAAAACTGGATTCGGTTGCAGCGAAAAATGGGTGTAAACATTCATATCACGCGTTCTCATTGACTTCGTTCGGTAGCTTTTGCACTAAAGTATCGTACCAAACACATAATTGACTTGTTAACTCCGAAACAATGGATTTATTTGATGTTTTCTGCTCGATAGGCCCAAAATGGGCGATTAGGCCGAAGTAGTGCTCTACCCTATAATGTATTCGGACCAACCAATGTAAGTTTCAGCTATTTAGTTTCGGCATTCCTAAAATTCATCTTTAGATTCTCTTCGAATTTTAAACTCGTTCTAACAATTAACTGGAGCTTCAATTTTTTAAATTTGCTTGGAATTCTCCTTAAAGTTCCCATGCAATTCACCTCAGATTCTCGACCAACAATTGAAAAGGGCCTAGGGTGACTTCAAATTTTCAGCTGGTCATTCTGCATTTTACATATGAAACACTTGTTATTAACCCCTTTATATTAGATTTGCCTTGAGCACATTTTGAGACCCAGCTCCGCAAGGAAATTATTCCGGATAATAGGCTTAACCAAAAGCTAATTCGTGGGCGGATTCCTCCAGTGGGAAATTGCTTTCACCTCCAGAATTGTGTAAGTTAATTCCATCTAAAATGCAATAACAGCAACAAAACTACAACTTCACTAAGAAGCTACGAGCTAGCCATGTTTCCAATGAAGACCTAGAATACTAAATAAAGCCACTCTATGCTGTCAAGGCAATGCTTGTCTACGTATATTTGAATCATTATTAAATCACAAAAGTGCTACTCCAAGCAATCAATAGACACTTCTCCCAAACAAGACCATTATTCTAAATTCTCATTTAGTTAGTTCTCTAAGGTAATCAAGCTGTTAAGAATACATCATCTTCTCTTAAAGCTGGGTTTAGACAAGGCAAGTCAATTGATGAACTCAGTTGAAACCATGCCATTTAACTGACTTGATCAACTCACTCGAATTAAAAAAAAAAGTTCAACCAGGCTCAATTGAATTCAACTGAGTTGTTCAATTACATATCTTGTCTAAACACAGCTTAACTCTTTACCATGCTTGCATTCACTCAAAGGCGCTCTAATGTGCTCAAGGGATTGATTTCTGTTGGACACCGCTGGATCGAGCAAATGGACCAATCTACTCAAAGGTTAAATTTTGTCAGACGTAATTAGGTGTAACATCTATTAACAGATGCACATACCCATTAGTAACAATTACAACTTACAACGTCTACGAGAATGGATTTTTACACCAGTTCAACTCAGGAATGTGACAACACCAAGTGGAAGCTGAATTTATAAAAGGCTCAAAATCATCGAAATACCCTTTTATGTGAGTAACTTTTGCCCAGCATGCAAAAATGCAACATCAAGCATTGAACAACCCCACGTTCGCAACTCTATTTAAAATTTGAAATGAACAACCATCCTCAAACTACACCGAGTAATTTGTTTGAAACTAGCGAAGTCAGTCATACTTATTAATAAGTTTTTGTTCAAAAGAAATATTTCCCTGAATTTGTTTATTTGTTATGTTTGCATCAACAGACTAGAAATAGTCCCAGATTATACAGACTACCTATACTACAGTTACAAACGAAAATAACTAGGAAAGCATTGTCAAGTTACTAAAAATGTATACCGTTCCGATTCAAATTTCGGACACTTTCATTTTTAATTAAATATTACATCCAGTTAGAAACAAAGTAATAATGTTAGATGATCGTGGAGGGCACTAGTCAAAAAAATTTAAAATTTACAAGACATGTGGATCATATTCGACCGAGATAATCAACTTTTAAAAGTGTCCGAAATTCGAGTTTAAGTGTCCGAAATTTGAATCGGCACGGTATGTCTTAAAGTTTACACTTAGCTTCGCTGTCAAGCGCCTTCGGTCAGCAAAAAAGTCAGAGAATCTTCGACGAAGCATATTCCGTGTCGAGTGAAAATCGAACGCTGCTCACTAACACCCACTGCAAGCCGTAAATAGCGCTCCCTAAGCTATAATTAGTTCGAAGAAGTGGAAGTCTCAGCATAAGACTGTTGCGTAGTGATCGAGGTTGAACATTAATGTTCACTTGTTGCAGAATTGCTTCGCAGTCGATTCTTCCTTGCAGAGTAGCCCTTCGGATACGTAAGGGCTCGACATTGATCGTCCAAGTAAAGGAGAAATACAAATGGTCCCAGATGGCTACCCTGAGGTATACCGGACTGTGCACAGAAGCTTGCTGAGCGACAAGTACCCAAAGTTACTGTCAGTTGGCGCTCCGTGAGGTATGAACGAAACCATCTCAAAAGATGTCCACCGATCCCTAAGCCTGTCAAGCTTTTTTTTTTTCCTTTGATTTGATTTCCGTCGATCTTGTTTTCCGTGCTGAGCACCAATGCTACCGACGCCAGGAAGGCAGCTCCCACGCCTGGATCCGACCTATCGACCCATCATTTCATGAACCGGGGACCAACGGCTTTACTTCCCGAAGGAAGGCGTGATTAGAAATGTTATGCCTCAGAACATCCCGGCGGCACCGACTGGGATTGAACCCAGGCCTGCTGGGGTGAGAGGTAATCACGCTTACCACTACACTACCTGTCAAGCTTAGCGATCGCAATTTCGTGGTTCAGCTTATCGAAGGCGGCCGTAAGATCTGCGTAGATAACGTCCGTTTGGGTCCGAGCAATCAAACTGTCTGTGATGTAAGACGATAGGCACAGCAGATTCGTAGTTGTGGAACGCCCAGTTAGGAATCCGTGTTGGTCAATGCTTAGATATTCCCCCTTATTCTGCGAGTCACGTGACTCTCTGTCACCGACGAGGTGACAATTGTCACCTCGTGTGAGGTGACTCTCCATGTAAATCAAATGGAGAGTCACCTCACACGAGGTGACTATTGTCACCTCACCGGTGAGAGAGAGTCACGTGACTCGCAGAATAAGGGGGATTGCTTTCAATTCAAAAAGTTTTGATACAGCACTCAGCGATGTGATTCCCCGATAGTTGTTTACGTCGCGTTTGCTTCCCTTTGTATGAACAGGAAACAAATCCGCAGTCTTCCAGCAAGACGGAAAGATGCCGCTGGAAAGAGAGAGCTGGAATATGCGGCGCAGTGGATCTAAAAGACAAGTGATGTTCTTTTTAAGAATAATCGACGGAACACCATCGGGTCCAGCTTTAACTGAAGTCTTAAGTTTAGATGCTGCTCTAGAAATCGTATCTGTAGTGGCTTCGACCATGCTGAGCGTTTGGTTGATCAAAGGAACATTACTGGCCGCGGAAGTAATGATATTAGCGGAGAGTTGCTCGGCTTCAAACACACTAGCAAATTTGGCTGAGAACAGGTTGCAAATGTCTTGTTGATTTCCAGCAGTTTCACCATTAAAAATCATGGAAGAGGGTAAGCCGACTTCCCTGCGTTGCTCATTTACGAAGTTCCAGAAGGATTTCGGGAGTGATTTTAGCCGCCGTTGAATCCTCCTTTGATAGCGTTGAAAACAGAGACGACTTAACCGCTTATACTCGTGGTTGAGTCTGACAGAGTAGCATTTCAGCGGCAGTGGGCGAAATTTAGTAAATCTTCTGAGAGCAGCCTTCTTAGTTCTTTCCCACGAGCGAAGATCTTTCGTCATCCACGGGACGCATGAGTCGATAGGATGATCTTTTTGGAAACGTGCCTGTCAATGACATGCCAAAACGTGAGAAAAGGTTTGTGCAACAATGTTGACGTCTACAGGATCTAGAATATGCTCCCAATCTAGGTTAGAAAGCACATGGACAATACTGCGATGGTCAGCTCTACGGAAGTCATATGACACAGCGTTTGGAGTGCTGATGAAATCACGGACAATATTATTTTCGATCACGATAACTAAAGCAGGGTGATGATGCACTTCCTTGACTAAAGGTTCGGGTGCCGTGGAGAGGAAAGGAGCTGTAATCACGAGCACGCACAAAGCAAAGATCCAGGGTGCGGTTGTTTTCATTCAACAGGCCATTGATTTGTGACAGAATTGCGGTACTATAATATAATTTGAATGAATTTCCCTGAGATTCCCTGATTTTCCAGGTCCAAAAATGAACTCCATGATATTCCCTGATTTTCCAGGTTTACACTCGAGAAATACTGGTTTTTAAAATCGATTATGCCAAAACACTCTGGGTGTGAAAAGGCTAAGTGCAGCTCAGGCAGAAAGCGCCCAGGAAGGTCAACAGTTTTAACTAATCTGGGCGAAGACCCAATCATACAAAGGATCAAATAAATGGCTAATGGCTTCCTTTTTTGTGCACATACTACATATCAATAAAAACATGTGTTCAAAACATTTTTCGTTTTTTTCGTGCGCAGAATTAGAAACAAACCTGCGAAGAATTAGGCTTCCCGCATTGGTGCACAAAATCTATTTTTTAACTCGATTTTGAGTCGTCCTCATATTTCCGGCTATTACTATATTAGATAACATTTTACTGATAGTATCAATTAAAATCATTCAAATCGGCATTTAAATCAGAAAAATTTTTTAACTCCGCAGAATATGGTACCTGCACGGTACTCACCTTGGTTTATTAATGTTCCCGTTGATGCTGGTATTCTTCGCATAATGACTCTTCGGTGCGTACGCCATCTTCAGCTTGTTTGCCTTGTACTTGTACTCCTTAATCTGGGTGGCATGCGCCGCAAAAGCATCGTTATGAAGCGCTCGCTCCAACACCCAAATGAAAACGTTCATACATTCCTCTTCCTGGGGACCACATATCGGTCTTATTAGCGCTATCGAGGAAACTGAAATAGAGAAAACAAAATTGAAAATCACCCACATTCATGTTCCCAGCCCGAACATTCTTATACTCACTCAAATCTAACAGCTTGACAAACAATCCAGCGATGTCCTCCTTCTGCTCGTGGCTGATCGGTTTCATCGGTGTCAACACGATGTTTGTCATTTCATCAAACACTGGACCGAGTTGAGTCCTGGATCCTCCAGCGGATAGTATTTCCTTCTCAAGCCGCAACAGCAAACTGTACCGTTCCTTTAGCTTATGAATGCACAGCACCAGCTTGTGTCTGGCTCCCTTGGTAACGCCCAAATTGGCCAAATACTCCTCATTCATTTCCATCATCTGCTCGTACGTAAGATTGGAAAACAACCACACGTACTTATGTAACCGCAAACTCTTCAACCAGTGCGCTATGCTGGACATCCCTATATTCGGCGATCCATACATCTTCATCATCTGATGCTGCTTGAAGTCGTCTAACCGGGTCTCCGAACCGCTGGAAGTCAACGATGAACGAGGACTTTCCATTGTCAACGAGAAACTCCTCGGCTTGTTCTGCAGTAGTTGTAGATTGCTCAGATTTTCCGCCGATAAACATTCGTTGTTATGTTTCTGTTGGTGCAGTTCCCTAACCGAAAACCCACATGCACTACTTACCGTCGTGGTAAGACTGTTGGACCGGCGAGTTTTCAGCAGACCACTTCCATCCAAATCGAACTCCCCCACGCCAATCGGAGGAACCCTCAGGTAATCACTTATGTTAGCATCGAACGAAACACGATTCTTGCTGCTGCTGCTATTGCTGCTACCACTGCTAGTATTGGCCGGTCCTCCCGATCCCGAGCCGGACGACGGAACAGCAGCGGATCCAGCCGCATTCGTCCCCCCGGGAGCGCTAGTATTGCTAGTGCTGGAGGATCCCCCAGCGGCTACAGCGGCAGCAGCACGGGCTAAATAGTTAAACTCTTCTTCATTATCGTAATCACAATCGTAGTCGAATATCTCGGTGCCATTTTTACTAAAGCTCAGATGGTTATCGTCGCTTGAGTCCAAATCGGTTAGCACCATCGTGTGGCTACCCAGGCCGCCGGTACCGTTTAGATTCAAACTGCTGTCATTGGCACTGCCTCCCAGGATTACACCCGATGCTTGACTAGAAGACGCAATAAGGTGGTGGTGCTTGCTGGTGTTGTTGTTGTTGGTGGTGGTGGTGGTGGTGCCGGCACTGCTGGCTCCACTGCTATTCCCGATCGATTGACTACTACCTTGTGGGGTCGAGTAGTTGAATGTGACCTGTCGCATGAAAAAGAAACACCTTGTCAAACCCTAATACACAGAAATCAAACACTCCCATTCAGACTCACCGGTACGAAATCCTTCATGGAGACATTCTCCGAACTTCCGATAGCCCGGACGGCACTGCCAGGATTTCCATTACCATCCCCAACGACTGTCCCACCGCCGTCCTCAGGTTTGTTCGTTACGTCAGTGCTCCAATCCAAATTGGCCAGCAGGTTGGTGGTTTTCAGTAGCTGCGAGGACGCACTATCGAGACAGGAACTAGAACTGGAGCTGCTACTGCTAGCTTGATTGAGACTCTGCTGCGACTTGGACAACAGTGACGAGCTGGAAATGCAAACCGATTGTGGCTGTTGCGGTAGTTGATTACAACTACTGCTGTTGCTGCCGCCATTGTTATTGTTGCTGTGGGGATTGTGGTGTTGATGATGAGTTTGCTGCTGTGGCTGTAGATGATGCCATGCGCCAGTTGCGAGGAATTGTAGCGACTGTTGACTGCCGGTTTTGCTGGCCAGATTTTGATTTGATCCACCAACGAGTTGTTGCTGCTGCTGCTGTTGCTGTTGTTGCTGTTGCTGGTGGTGATGGTGTTGCGAAGCAGGAGGATGAATATAGTAGGTGCTGTTGCTATTAACCATCTTGGTAGTATTGTTGTTGTTGTTGTTGTTGTTGTTACTTATAATATTATTGGTGGCAGTTGCTGCCGATGAGGCAAGCGTTGTCGGAATGTAGGAGGTAGCGATGTGTTCCTCCAGATGGCGCAGCCAGTAGCTTAGAGATCTGGAAGGAGTAAGGGAAATCGATTAGAAATGGTTCAAAATCACTCTTAGGCAGGGTTGCTTCCACTCACTTCGCTATAGAAAATTTTATTTGGAATTATGAAATCATTAGATGTTATAAAGATATTTTGACTCAGAATTACAAGAATTGCAAGAGGCCACAATATGCGATTTAACGATTCGTGAGTTTTCACTCGAAAATCGATGATTGTGACTCTCTGAACTTTACAACCTCTTCATCTAATGAGTTCAAAATTTAAAAAAAAAAAACATATTTTATAGCGGCGTGAGTGAAACTTAGATACGAGTCACGTGACTGTCAGTGATTGGGTGATTGCAGGATTTATTTAATCATAAGTGACGGTACATTGACACGGTGATATTATGGTAGTAAATTTTCGGTTCAAGTTATTCACTCCAATGAAACATTTTGAATATCGAAGTACGCTTTTGTCGCAAGTGGACGTGTTTGTTTTTATGGTTATAATTTTCGGTGTTTTCAAATAACTTGATGCGAAAAGAACTAAATTTGGGCAGCTCCTGGAACATGTTCATTTGTAACAATTGGAAAACTGAATGAAATTCGGTCTCGTTTCATAGAAATGAGATCGTATCTTAAGCAAATTTGAGTTTTAAACATGTGCTAAGAACGAAAGCATCTTGTTTTTGGGTACAGAAGTGTGTACAGTTTGATAAGGGTAATGAATGTATGCGGGACTTATTGTGTGTGTGAGAGTTTCCAAAGCGCGCACATGTTTAAGCATTAATTCTTAAAATGGGTCACTGGATCTACAGGAAAATGGAATAGAAACTAAGCTATGGGTTAATCTTTTGTTTGTGAATAGAAGTTTTAAAAAAGGTTGTGCAAGCAATCGATCGTCCAATTCGTTCCAAGCCCCGTGTCCAAAAGTATGATTACAATTGTTTTCTTTTTGCATACGTTTGTGCTAGGTAACCAAAAGAGATGCGTGCTCTCACATTCCCTTTTGTTGCCCGGTTTGACCTCGATCGCGCGTGTTTTATTGTTCGGTTGTGTGAGGGTAGATGGCGACTTTGGCACCCATTGACTGTCTTCGGCAACCAAAATTTAAACGTTCATTTCACTGTATTTTCTCACGAAAAGCCATGATCGAGTAGTAATGACGTTGATGAGATGGAATAGTGGCAATAAGGTGAATTGTGAAAAACCAAACTAAAAGTAAAAGAGATTCAGTTGCTTAAAACATGCGCGATATTTATGTGGTAAAAGAGGGATTTGGAAAATTGCTACTAATAGAACTCGGTCAATTCCACATTTGTCCGACGAAGATCCGGGACTTTCGAGACTTGGATGCTAGACGGAGATTTAAAAAGTTCCCAACTTAAATTTGAGACGCTTCCAACGGAGAATCCAATCGTTACCGACGAATTTTGTAGACGTTTCCAAAGATGACGTTCTGAACGAAGATTTTACGTGATACTGACGAGGATTCCAGAAGTTTCTGGGGATGATTGTAGACTTTCCCGACGGAAATTCCAAGCTTTCAAGACTTGGCTTCGAGATGCTACAGACGAAGATAAAGGGTGTCCACGATGAAATTGCCACACACAAAATTGATTCGCAAAATTCGAGTTTTCATCCGATTGCCATCAAATTTTCAGGGATTGAGAAATAACTATTAAACTTCATTTTACCATTTTACTCGTATTTTATTTACAGTCCATACGCAAATGCCCGCACCTTGGCCTTAACCCCGGCCATAAGATTCTGCACAACCTGTGAATCAACCGTTTTTTGCATGTAAACCCATACTTTCTTCAGTTCCTCGACTGTCTTCACTACCTTAGGTCGTTTAAGAAGGTGCTGCTTCATAATCGCCCAGTACTTCTCGATGGGGCGGAGCTCCGGAGTGTTGGGAGGGTTGAACATTTTCGGCACGAAATTGACCTTATTGTCCGCATACCACTTCAGCACGTCCTTGGAGTAGTGGCATGAGGCCAAATCCGGCCAGAAGATTGTTGGGACGTTGTGGGCCTTCAGGAGAGGAAGCAGCCGCTTCTGGAGGCACTCTTTTATGTACACCTGTCCGTTCATCGTGTCCTGGGTCACGAAAGGTGCACTCCGCTTCCCGCACGTGCAGATGGCTTGCCAAACCAGGAATTTCTTCGCAAATTTGGACATCTTCTGAGTGCAGACATGCTCCGGAACGCTGAACTTATCCTTGGCCGTGAAAAACAGGTTGCCGGGGATCTGTTTGAAGTCGGCCTTCACATATGTTTCGTCGTCCATGATGCAGCATTCAACTTTCGTCAGCATGTTGAGGTACAACTTCCTGGCACGGGTTTTGGCGGACTTGTTCTGCTTCTCGTCGCGATTAGGGGCCTTTTTTACCTTGAACGTTCGAAGCCCAGCCTTAGTTTTGGCCTTCTGGACAAAACTTCGGCTTAGGTGCAGCTTCTTAGCCACATCCCTAACGGAGGCGTTCGGATTTCGGTTGAAGGCCCCAACTACGCGGTTGTGATTTATGGTGTTGTACGGAATACTTTTTCCTTCACTTCTGGGCTTCCGATCGGTGGTCAACCGTTCCTCGAACCGCTTAATCACTCGCGATTCCCAACGTTTTAGCGATGGAACGATGCGAGAGATCCTTGTTCTCGTGATGAATGCGCAAGATTTTATCACGCACGAGCTGTTCTTTCGACTCCATTTCCGCGAGTTTTGATCACAGGACTTTAAAACTTGCAGGATGTAAATAATGCTCTATGAACTAAATCCACCCAAATTTTCATTAAATTCTACCCAACGGTTAAAAAGTTAGAGCAATTTCATAGTGTGGCAATTTCATCGTGGACACCTTTTACCAGACGTTCAGACGTTCACCAATGGAGATTACAGACGTCCCCGAAGATGATTACAGGTGTTCTTGAGGGAATTTTCAGTCGTTACCGACTTGGATTCGAAACGTTCCCGAAATAGGTTGCAGACCTTCCCAAAGCTAAGCTAAGCTCCAGACATTTCCGACGGAAAATCCAAACGCTTTCGACTAAGATTCCAAATTTTTACGACGAAGATTTGAGAAGTTCCCGACTTGGATTCCAGACGGAGATTAAAAACGTTCCCGAACTGGATTCGAGATGCTTCCGACGGAGAATCCAAACGTTACCAAAGATGGTTGCGGACGTGCCAAACGATGTTTTCAACGATGATTCACAAATTCACAAATTGGTTTCAAGACGTTCTGAACGGAGATTACAGACGTTCTCAACAAGGATTCCAGTCGTTACCGAAATCGATTATAGTCTTTCCCAACTTGGTAACGAAACGTTTTGAACGGATATTCCAAAGGATCCCGACAGTGATTTCAAGCGTTCCTGACTTGGATTCCCAAAGACATGGGCATTACTGAATTCCCAAAGATGATTCCAGACGTTTTCGATGAAGATTCCAGACGTTCTCGACGGAGGTTTTAATCCAAACATGCCCGACGAAGGTTGCAGACGTTTCCGGAGATGATTCCAGACGTTTCTAATGGAGATTAAAAAAAGTTTTTGACTGGGATTTCTCGACGAAGATTCAAGACTTTACCGACTTTACCGTATGTAACGAAAGGGAGATTCGACGTTTTAAAAATTGGTTGAGATACGTTCTGAACGGAAGTTCCAAACGTTCTCGGAAATGATTCCATACGGTCCCAACGGAGAACTCAGAGGTTTATGACGACGATTTTAGACGTTTCCAACATGGTTTCGAGACGATATTATTGGGGATTCCAGACTGGAACTCCGGATTTTCCCGACGGAGATTCGAAACATTTCCGATTTGGATTCCAGGCGTTCCCGACGCAGATTCTATACGTACCATACGACGACGATTCTAGACGTTTTCAACTTGGTTTCGAAACATACTGAACGGACATTCCGACGGAGATACCAAACGTTTTTTCGGAGATTCCAGGCGATCCCGACGGAGGTTCCAAACGTTCTCGATAAAAATTGGAATCAGCATTGAAATCGTCTGGAAGCTCTCTTGAACAAGTTTGGTTCTAGGTTTCCATCGTGAATGTTTGGAACCATCTTCAGCAGTATCATGAATTTTCATTGAGAACGTCTCGAATCACCGTCAGGAAAGTTTGCAATCCTCGTCAGGAACGTCTGGAATCTTCAGGAACTTCAGGAATTCTCGTCAAGTAACATTTCTGGTTTTATTATGGTCTTCAAGTCCATTCTAAGACTAATAAACCTCTTCGACAACCATGATAGAACTCAAAATTTTACATCGGTACGGAAGCATTTGGAAACTCCCAACGGAGAATTCAGAGGTTTATGATGATGATTTTAGACGTTTCCAACATGGTTTTCGATGAAGATTCCAAACGTTCTCGACGGAAGTTTTAATCGTTCCCGCCTTGGATTTGAGACGATAGCGACGTAGATTCCAAACATGCCCGACAAAGGTTGCAGACGTTTCCGGAGATTATTCCAGACGTTTCTAATGGAAATTCCAAACGTTTTTGACTGGGACTTCTCGACGAAGATTCGAGACTTTACCGACTTGGATTCCAGACGTGAACGACAGGGAGATTCGACGTTTTAAAAATTGGCTGCGAGACGTTCTGAACGGAAGTTCCAAGGTCACAAGGGAGATTTCAGAGGTTTATGACGATGATTTTAGACATTTTCAACATGGTTTTGAGATGCTCTGATTGGAGATTCCTGACGCTACCAAAGGAGATTCCAAACGTTTTCCACTGGAACTCCAGATTTAACCGACGGAGATTCAAGACTTTTCCGATTGGGATCCCAGGTGTTCACGACGTTCCATACAACTTGATATCTAAACGTACTAAACGGACATTCCAGACGTTTCGGACGGAGATACCAAACGTTTTTTCGGAGATTCCAGACGATCCCGACGGATGTTTCAAACGTTCTTGATAAAAAATAGGAATCATCTTTGGAATCGTCTGGAACCTCCGTCGAAAACGTTTGAAATATCCATTGATAATGTTTGAAATCATCTTCAGAAGAGTCTGAAATTCTCGTTGAGATCGTCTCGTTAGGAACATCTAGAGTCAAAGTTGGGAAAGTTTGGAATCGCCGTCAGGAACGTCTGGAATCTTCAGTACCTTTTGGGATTTCTCGTCGGGAATATCCAGGATCACTACCCGAATAACATTTCTGGTTTTATTATGGTCTTCAAGTCCATTTTAAGACTAATAATACTCTTCGAAAACCATGATAAAACGCAAAAAGTTACTTGGGTACGGAAGCATCTGGAAACTCAATGCAAAACTGCCTGAATTTTCGTTTGGAGTTTCCGGAATAATTTAGGGAACGTCTGGATCTTCATTCTGAAACTCCTATAATTCCCACCGGAATCGTTCGAAATCTGAGCCTGTAATGTCCAGCGGGGACGACTGATATTTCCGATGGGAACGTCTGAAATCTCCACCGGAATCATCCGGAATAATTTCGGGATCGTCTGCAGTAGCCGACTTCGATGCATTTCACCACTTAGAGAAACAAACGGTTGTCACGTGAATGTTTTGAAAAATAAGACGAACTGACAAACCGGGATTCCATTTTCATTGTTTAAGTATCCATCAATGCATTATGGTCCAAAAATAACTAACGAGAGATGTCGTAAAAAATTCCCAGAAGCCAGAAACACTTCTAGAGGAATTCGGAAGAAAGTTCCAGGATAAGTCGGTAGAATCTTCCGAGGAAAGTTAAACTAAACTTCCAAGAGAAGTCGGTCGCAACTTCCTGGAAAATCGAATTACAATTCGAGGGAAACCTTGACAGAAGCTTCCAGTCAGTTTCGGAGGAAATCAGAAGAGTCTTCCACAGGGCGTCAAAAAATAGACATCTGAAAAGAAACTTCCAAAGTTGAAAAAGCTCCATCCCGCATAAACAATAACCATAAGATGCGCCTAACCACCAATTCGGGATATCATCCCAATTTTATGTGGTATGGTCGCACCATCTAATATATCGTCAGTATATGGTACACGTTTATTAGGGATAGCAGTCCAGGTATTCACGACGGAGATTCCATACAACTTGGTATCGAAACGTACTGAACGGACATTCCAGACGATCCCGACGGACGTTCCAAACGTTCTTGATATAACTAGGAATCATCTTTGGGATCGTCTGGAACCTCCGTCGAAAACGTTTGGAATATCCATTAATAATGTTTGAAATCATTTTCGGAAGTGCCTGAAATTTTCGTTGAGAACGTCTCGTTAGAAACATCTAGAGTCAAAGTTGGGAAAGTTTGGAATCACCGTTAGGAACGTCTGGAATTTTCGGGAACTTTTGGGGTTTCTCGTCGGGAATATCCAGGATTACTACCTAAGTAACATTTCTGGTTTTATTATGGCCTTCAAGTCCATTTTAAGACTAATAAACCTCTTCAAAAACCATGATAAATCTCAGAAAGTTACTTGGGTTCGGAAGCATCTGGAATCTTAATGGAAAACTGCTTGAATTTTCGTTTGTAATGTCTGGAATAATTTCGGGAACGTCTGGATCTTCCTTCTGAAACTCATATAATTCCCACCGGGATCGTTCGAAATCTGAGTCTGGAATGTCCAGCGGGGACGACTGGTATTTCCGATGGGAACGTCTGAAATCTCCACCGGAATCATCCGGAATAATTTCGGGATCGTTTGCAGTAGCCGACTTCGATGCATTTCACCACTTAGAAAAACAAACGGTTGTCACGTGAATGTTTTGAAAAATAAGACGTACTGACAAACCGGGATTATATTTTCATTGTTTAAGTATCTATCAATGCAGTGTTGTCCAAAAATAACTAACGAGAGATGTCGTAAAAAAATCCCAAGGAAGTTTGGAAAATCTGCCGGAAACAGTCGGAAAACACTTCCAAAGGAGACCAGAAACACTTCTAGAAGCATTCAGAAGAAAGTTCCAAGATAAGTCAAGTGAATCTTCCGAGGGAAGTGAAACTAAACTTCCGAGAGAAGTCGGTTGCAACTTCCTGGAGAATCGAATGACAATTCGAGGGAAACCTTGACAGAAATTTCGGGAAAATAAACCTTCCGAGGATATCAGAAGAGTCTTCCACAGGACGTAAAAAAATAGACATCTGAAAAGAAACTTGCAATGGAAGTTGAAAAAGCTCCAGAGCAGTTCCACGCCAACTGATAAATCGATTCGAAAAAAAAATCGAAATTCCATGAGATTTCACATTGTTGATCAGTAGTAGCAATGAATCAAGTTTGTGCCGTAGTTCAACCATTTTTACTAACGCCTAATTTTGTAAAATGGCGTATTCCAGCACAAACTTGGTTCATTGCCCCTAGCGACCAATTTCATGAAATTCTGAAAGGTAAACTCTAAAATTTGATTAATTTTTCGCTATTTGGTCTGGAACTGATCTCCTAGAGAAGACGGAAGCCGAAAAAACCAGCTGATTAAGATCAAAGATAACTTCTTGGAGAAGTCGAAAGAATTTTACGAAAGAAAGTCAGAAGACAGACACTCCTAAGCGACGTCACAACGGATTCTAGGGAAGAAATCGGGAGACTTTTTCAGGGCAAGTTAGCAACAAATTCCAGAGACAGTTAAAACAAGCCTAATCAACTTACCAGGGGAAAAGATTTCAACTTGAAGTTGGAAGAAGTTTCTGGAATAAATAGGATAAACTTTCGGACGGTGACAGAAGAATCTTCAACGGCGACGGTGGTGTAGTGGTAAGCGTGACTGCTTCTCAGAACCTGGGTTCAATCCCAGTCGGTGCCGTTGGAATTTTCTGAGTAATAAAATCTCTAATCACGTAAGGGAAGTAAGCCTTTGGTCCCCGGCCCATGATTTGATGGGTCAATAGGTAGCCGAGTTTCAATGCTATCGAAACCAGGGAGGCAGATTCTACATCTGGACCCTACCTATCGACCACCTACTTTAACTTATTGTGTTTACGGTTCGATCGACATGCAAACATTTGAAAAAAAAAAATGTGTTTTACCAAGCAGATGGCTGCGCATAACGGCGTCGGTAGTGTAGTGGTAAGCGTGATTACCTCTCACCCCAGTAGGCCTGGGTTCAATCCCAGTCGGCGCCGCCGGGATGTTCTGAGGCATAACATCTCTGATCACGCCTTCCTTCGGATGGGAAGTAAAGCCGTTGGTCCCCGGTTCATGAGTTGATGGGTCGATAGGTAGGGTCCAGGTGTGGGAGCTGCCTTCCTGGCACGTCGGTAGCATTGGTGCCCAGCACGGAAAACAAGATCGACGGAAAAAACAAACCAAACGAAAAAAAATGGCTGCGCATAGACTCGGAACTGAGAGCAGTATGACGGAACACGCGAGAAACTGCAAGAATATGAAAAACGTTCTCACCGGGTGCTAATCGGAAAAGGTTAGATTAAAGACTAGAACCAGCGAGTGAGCCATTTTTGGCTCAGATTCTGATAAAAGATTATCCATAAGATTATGATAAGAAGATCAATACCAATGTAACATTTTTTAAAGCCATGTTAAAAGAAAGAAAGCAAATGATTGATTCGTTCTACCAATCGACCGCTCAACAATTGCAAATGAAGTTACTCGAAAACTTGGATATTTGGATCTTTCAACATTAACCAGGGAATTTAAAAATAAACCACCCACCGTTTCTCTCGTTTTTCAGAATTTCTTGCTCAACTTGCCACCCACAACTTTCAGCAAATCGCTCAGTGTAATTCTAACGGAAAAATGGATGAGTGATAGATGGAAACACCGTGCCCCTGAACCAACCAAAGGATGAAAACATGTAACATGTAGCTTACGGACACGATGATGACATTTAAAACAAAAATTAAAATGCAAAAACAAAAACACAAAAAGAAACACAACCCCATACCAACAACACACAGAAACAACACCAAAGCCATTAGGGCACACAGCACACAACACAACAGAGAATGGCTTACCTTCTATCGTCATTGTTAACGGCCGGATGTATCAGCAGGTAGGACAGTATGTGCTGCACCAGTTCGGTGGGCACGGCCTGCTGGCAGGCATCCTCGACCGCGGCCGGTATCAGCGACATGTACACGCTCTTCACGTCGTCGTTGCCCGGCTTGAGCAGCGGCAGGTACGTCAGCATATCGTTCAGAATGTCCTTCTTCGATTCGACCGGTTTGGCTTTGCTGCTGGCTTTGCTGTGCTCTTGTGGTTTGTTTGCAGTCGCTTGGCCGTTGGATGACGAGGTCGTTGACGATGACGACGAGGACGATGACGACGACAGCGAGGAAGCTGTTTGGGACGAGGACGACACACAGGACACCCCAGATGTGGACGAACAGGACGAGGAACTGGTCGAGGACAGATCAAAGGTGGAATTTTTCTTCTCCGAGTCCGAGTAGTTCGAATCGGAAATGGTTAGATTGTTGTTGGCAATGCTGGTGTTGTTGTTGTTGGTGTGGTTGTGGTTGTTGTTGTTGTTGTTGTTGTTGTTATGGAGGGTAGTTGTTGTTGCGTTCGTTTCCCCAGCGGCACCCCCAACACAGCACGAGCCGGTTGTCGTGGTGGTGGTGGTGGTGTTCTGATACCGCTGGACGAGCTTGTTCAGGAAGTTGGCATTGTTGGCATGCGTTTCCAGTAGCTGCAGCTTGCTTTGCGAGCTGTAGTTCTGGGCAAGGTTGTAATCGATCGATAGCTGCAGGAACTTTAAATTGGCAAATGGGACACGTTTCAGCAGAGCATAAAGCACCACCGTCCGCTCGCAGTCGTTCCACTGCTCGAAGAACGATGTCACGGTACCCACTTGTTCGCAAAATAGCAACTGATTTCCACCGGGGAATTTCATTTCGTTTGTGTTTGTTCGGGTTTTAGTTTGTTTGTTCCACTTGTTCTTATTTTTTATCAAAGGATACCTTCGGAGTGTGGCGAGCGGCCGGAGAGTGTGGCAGCTGTTTGGCGGGGTTGGGTCAGGTCACACTTGTGACACACGCTCTTTTTGCGCCTAACCGGAGGCGTGGTATCGATTAAAGCAGTCGTGCACTGCTTGCTTCAAAGTAGCATTTGGGGCTTGGTAGTGAAGTTTTATGTTTTCGAATGTTTTGACTCGCGCCTAATTTGCCAACTACCAGCTGCAAAGATACAAAACAAGAGAGAACAATTGAGAAAAGAGCATACCCAAAGAGAGAAAATTGCAACTTTTGTTTTCCATTCCAAATATAAACAGCGGTCGATTTTCGCAGAGGCACGAGAAAAATTAAAAGAAAACTACTACCTTCGTCTTATAACCGATTTTCCTCAAACCAAAGACAGGCAGAAAGAGAGTGCATCGCAGAGTAAAAAAAAAATGAAATCACGAACACAATAGCAAACAAAACAAAATTTGAACTCTCTTCACACTGTGTAATAATTGTTATTGCTGCCTGAGCAGTGTTGGACGCAGTTTATTATTTTTAAAATTTCCATTCGGCATTTTCGCCAATTAACACCCCACTGATGTCGCACCGTGCAAGGGAAATTAGCATCTGTCGTTCCTCGCAAACGGCTTAGTGCGCGCGTGAATTTGAGTCTGCACACCTACATACACATACAGCGTAGACGGTGGTACCGACTTACATGGGATGATCGTGATGCAGATGATAATCATGTTTATAGATTAGATGACACTGAATAATCCGACCCGATTGAGTGTGTACAAGCAGACAAGGGGTGGGGGGGGGGGGGTTTGCTGTCAGCGGTTCGTTGTTATTGTAATTTGCAAATCAACTGACTGATAATGCCGGGCAGACCGTTATCAGGACAACTTTCAAAGAGCGTATTGGCAAGATTGTTGACGCGATTAGTGTTTATTGTGCGAACTGACAAGCTCTGAGTTCTAGCTATGTTATTCTAAAAACCGGGCGAGAGCAATTTGAAGAGGTCGGGATCTGGCAGTAATTTTCCTAGGGTTTTGGATTAGGTAATAGGGGAAAGTGGGGTTGCCAACCATCACTAATGATACCAAAATCAGTGCAAAATTCGACAAATTTTTAAACAAAAAGATAGTTTCAAGTCTTATTTAGATTGTGAATATAAATTGAATATTAAAAGTAAACTTTTGAATCTCATGAAAGAAGATTTAAAAAATATTCGTTTTGTAACCGAAAAAAAATCGATTTTTTTAAGCCAAACCATTTTCTAAGTTGATTTTAGATTCAGTTTGCGAATTGGCTATTATAAGTAATGAACATCGAAATTTATTACGAAATCTTGGATTGGAAAGTCTCGGACTTGGACGAACTGTTAAAACGAACCATTTTAAAGATCTCGAACATAGAAATAGACAATTTTTCATAACTCTGAGATCTAACCAACTTTTCTTGATTGCAGCTAAGAAAAATTCTCATTATTCTGGAACGAGGAAAATTTTCCAAGATTTTTCCATTTCAAAAGATTAAGGAATTTTACTTGCGACTAGGATTTAAAATCTCGGTCTTGCAAAAAGTTGTACGATTCTGGGATAAATTTTAGAAATAGGGGAAATGATGGCTCTAACGTAACGTTGGCCTATGGATCTAAGATTGGGCCCATCGCTAAAAATCAGCTATTTATCAATTTTATCTAGATGAACGCGTCATTGGGACGGTAATAATGGATATTTTGGTCGCTATTGAAAATTTAGTCAATTGCTGAAATTATGTACTATGAAAAACGTCAAATGCTATCTGCTTTCAAGGTAGTTCTGAGTAGAATTTCAAGAAACCCTGAATTGAATTAAAAGTAAATTTTAATGAAAACTCCGAGGGTATTCTGAGGATAATTTCATAAAGGAATCCTCTGAATTTGTATTAAAATACTAATAGGAGGACTACAATTAAATCTAAGAATAACTCCAGGACATCTTCAAAGAAATTTGGAAAATAAATTCAGGATAGTTTGCCAAACAAATTATGAGAAGAAATCGAAGGAATTTGTAATGAGAAATGCCAATGAATTCTTAGGAGACTTTCAATGTGAGTAAAATGCCAAGGAAAGCAGTGAGATTCAAAAGGAAATCGGAAATTAATTCAATGAATATTCGGAGAATCTTTCCAAAGGGTTCATATTGTGGAAAATTTCAAGGTAATTCCGAGGAAAACTAAAAAAAAATCGGAGGATAGCTTCATCGACATTTTGAGGAATGGAAATCTCCGTTGGATATGGAATGGACTATTCTGAGGGCTTCAGAACTACTTGAATGTTCCCAAATTTTTCCTTAAGTTAATGAAACTGCCTTGAAGTTCTTTTGTAGTTTGAGAAGCTAGCCTGATGCCCACAATACTTCTCATCAAATTCTTAAACTTCCCTGAACTTTATAGGACTTTCTAAAGTTTCCTCAATTTTTCTAACGATCGTTTAAAGGTTTAACAATTCACTGAAGTTCTCTAAACTTCTTTAAAATTTATGTAACTTCTCTCATGTTAACGGAACTGCTCTGAGGTTCTGTATTCTTTTCTGAAATTCTCAAAACTTCTCTAAAGTTTTTGCAGTTCTCATGCAGCTTGCAGTACAAGCACTGAATTTAATTGAACGGCCCTAAAAATGTTTAAGCTTCAGTGAACTTCTGAACGTATGCGAAGACCTCAATTAACTTTTTGACGTCTCTGAAGTTATCAGAAAATCTGGGAACTGCTTAAAATTTCCCACTAATTTTCTGAAACTAATGGAGCTGACCTCCCTCTGAGATTCTTCCATTTTTTTGGATACCCCCGAATTTTGCAAATGTTTATAAAAAAGTTTGCGGATTTCCTCTTAAGCTCCATTGATTTCTAAGAAGTTCTCGGAATGTTTCTGAAGATCACTGTCCTTCTTTTTTTTCCTTTGGTTTGTTTTTTCCGTCGATCTTGTTTTCCGTGCTGAGCCAGGAAGGCAGCTCCCACACCTGGACCCTACCTATCGACCCATCAACTCATGAACCGGGGACCAACGGCTTTACTTCCCATCCGAAGGAAGGCGTGATCAGAGATGTTATGCCTCAGAACATCCCGGCGGCGCCGACTGGGATTGAACCCAGGCCTGCTGGGGTGAGATGTAATCACGCTTACCACTACACCACCGGCGCCGTTTTCACACTGTCCTTCTGTAAAGTTTTCGAAGTTTTTCTAAATTTCAGGAACTTTTGTGCTCCCGCAATTTTCATGGAATTAGAACGAAATAATTAATATACACTACCGATCATAAGTTTAAGGACACCCCAAAAAAAACCATGCAAATATGTTTTGTTCAATGATCTCTCATTTTACGTTCAATTTTCGATCTCCAAAGGTTATTTGAATGATATGAATGGTATAGCATAAGTGTTCTACTACTACTTTTATTTTAAAATTTGTCCAACCCAATTCTGAGAAAATCAGTCACGATTCTTCAGAGTTAATTTTGAAAAATATTGTAACTTTGGGTGAACTTTTAGCACACAAAACTTGAAAATTATAGTTGAAGATGCTATTTTCAAATAACAGACTGTAGTGGTAATTTTTATACGATAGATGGAGTAGATGAAAGCATAAAGTTGATAGTTCCGTTAGAGTACGGCAGTGTGAAGATTGCATATAGATATTAGAATAGCGAGCTAGGACAACTTTTAAGGAAGGTACCAATCGGTTCTCTCTTTACCAAACTATCCCTTTGGAGAGGAATGGTGAGGGGTGTCCCCCCCCCCCCCACGCCACCACTGGCAAAAAGAGATGAAAACCGACCCGCTCAAGTACCAACGGTGTGTTTGAAACAGTTCTACCGATTTTTTACCGCACTTCAGTTGTTATTTGAAGGAAGGGTTCGGTTTTCATCTCTTTTTGCCAGTGGTGAATATCATGAAACTATCTAAAAATATCTAAATTTATTAGGAGTTCTCTGGAATTTTTTGAAGATATCGCTGCTTGCACATTTTTCTTTAATTAATGGTACTTTGTTGATGTTCTCTTATCAACTTAGCTAAATTTTCGTATTTTTTAAAGTTCTTGAAATCTCTATGACATAGCACCCTTAAAATACGTTCCAGAAATTCTCTTGGAGCTTTGCTGAGTTTCCGGAAATTCCCTGAGGTACTCGAAACTTCAATACAGGATTTACAATTTCCTTGAAATAATTTGAACTGCCCTTTGATTCTCTGATCTTTCTTGATGTTCTCGAAGCTTCCACAAAGCTATTAGTTGTATTGAAGAACTCTGTTCTGCTCGGAAATAAATATAATTCCAGTAAAAACCTTTAAATTTCTCTGAAATATTTCTGATAACTGATAATATTGTTGTTAATTCTCTCAGCGGGTAGGTAACTGTAAAAGTTCATTAATGAATTTAAAAAATCAGTTCATCAGAAACGTATTGTGAAATGGTGTTTCTCCCCAAAACCTATGAACAGAATGATATTTCAGTTAATTAGCCAAACATTGGATCACTTCCTACAGTGCATTTTAGCAATTGTTAGTTAGCTTGTATCAAATACCAAAATTTCATTCAATTTAGGTACCACTGCAATTATTGTTTACATTAGTACACTGGCTGTTTTGTATTTCTTAAAGCGCAATTTACGTTAAATCTTCTGAATTTACAATACAAGTGAAAACTGTGATATTGTCTATTAAATCATCTACCATGTAACAAAAAGGTAAGTCCTTTCAATTCATGAGATTATCAGGTTTTTCGATGACCACCGCAGTGTAGATTTTCATTAGTGCAATAATACGGCAAGATCATGACGCCTAGAAATTGAAAATTAAAAAAAAAAATCACTAACCTTTTTCTTTGAAAAAGAGCAATAAACGTACTAAATTTGTCCCAAAAATAGGCAATTCATTTACGGATTACAATTTCTCAGCAGATGTGATATTAGTTTTTCATTACTATTCTGTATAATTGCTTAATAAATTAGTGATTTACTTGATAGGCTGCAATGAGGGGCTAGGCTGATAATACCCGTAGCCCGTAACCATGCTAAACACTAAAGCTACCGGGCTAAAAAGATTTTTCTAAATTCTGGTTTTTTTAAAAAAATATCTAAAGCTTGAAAACTTTCCTAGACTATTTTTCAACATCTTAATGTTGGATTATTCTGAATAAATGTATTAATACATATTACCGTATAACTTCTTAAAAATACTAATTTTTAAGTTATTAAA